ATGGCCTCCCAGGGTGATCTTACTACAGTTAAAAAGAGAGATCTCAGCTTTTGAGACTTGCACTTGTGTCAGCTGAGCTGTCAGAGCCGTCAGTCCCTGCTTGTTGTGCTGAAGCCTGAGCGCAGGCTGAGCCACAGGGCTGTTGCCAGAATAACACCATCCGTGTCTAGTTCATTCCTCGGTTAAGCGATGCAGGAGAAGGGACTGTTTCACTGGGCAAAGTCTGCTTATTCAGCAAGCGCCTTTTTGCAACGTCAGCATGCACCGGTGTCCCTTCTTATTTAAAAATCCATCTATAAAGGCCCCAGCTTCTCTGTGACACTCTACTCGGAGGTCTGCGGTACCCAGCACTGAGCACTTCCCTCTGTGCATCTTCTTGCTCCGAGGGAACTGGGCTGCAGGTTGTCTAGAGACTTGGTATTTGGATGGCTACTAATCATGATGCTGAGCCCTGGGTACATTAAAGAACAAAGTAAATATATACCCTTCTAAGGAAGTGCAAGGCAAACATCTCTCCTAGGAGGGGACTCAGGATTTTACAGATTGCAACTACAGCAAAACTAACCTTGGCAAAACTGAAAATACACTGAGCTTGAGTGAGAGATGGGGCTAGTTTATATTCCGCCATGTTCTGCTGGCTTTACTTCCCTTCTCTGTGCCTGTTCTGCCTGAATTTTATACGTTGGCCTTGTTTGCTCTCTCTAAAATGTCAGCCCTCTCCCCTTTCCCCTTCCACCTCCTCCCCACAATAGGAAGCTTTGCCTTCCTTCCTTGAGGGAAAATGGATTGCAGAGCTCCTCTGCTCTGCCTTTGTCCAAGAAGTGCTTTGTAATGTCGTATGCTTGCCGACCTACTAAAATTAAACAGCCTCTTTGAAGCTACTGGAACAAGAGCCTCCTGTATGAGGCTCTCCCGTGAGGGTAGACGTTACAGCCCCGTCCATTGTTTTGGGAGGAGGATCATTCTCTTTCTTTAATTATTTGAGTGGCATTTGGATTTCATTGCTCAGGCTGTTCTTACTAATGCTCTAGTGTTTTGCTGGCTTTGAGGGAAGTAAATAAGCCAGGCTGTTATACTTCTGGAAGGCTTCTAGTTGCTGCCAGGTTTTCCCTAAAGTCAAAAGCTTCTGCTTCTCGGTCACCAGCGCTTCTGGGGAAAATTTACATCCAAATATAAACACCAACTTTCATTGTCTTGTCCCTAGCCCATCCCCATTTCTGTCTGTCTGGTTGTTTTAGCCAGCACTTTGTTGGACCATTTGCAAATGGTCCCCTTGCATGATGGGTGCATGAACTCTACTGGTCTTTTGGCTTCAAGTGGCTATGGCTTTGGGTAAAACTGCCGTGGGTACGTGTCTGGTCAGTGATCTGCTGTGGTTTCCTTGTCCTCGCATCCCAGCATGTAAGACAATGTTCAAAGTGGGAAAAGGGCAGGAGTGGGAGCCCGCAGACAGGCTGGCAAGGGGTCTAGACGTGCACAACCTCCTGGATGGCAGGAGCTCTTTGGTTCTGAATAATTTATGGCTCGATCTGTGCCACAAGCAGTCTCAGCCAACGGCGCTGAGAGGGGCTCTTGCTAAATCAGTCTATTGACTGTTCTCTGACTCTTGAACTAACAAGGAAAATATGTGAGGAAACCTGGCCTTTGGTGGTGGTGGCTGCTCCTGCAGAAGCTTCCTTGTCCCCCTGAGCTGCATTAGGTCTCCATAGCTCCTCTCTGCCAGGGTTTGGCTTTGCGCTTCAGTAACCAGAAGGTGTCATGCAATATTTATGGAGTAAAAAACGTTTCTGTGCAAAGGGAAGTGGCTTATCCTGCAGCAGCTGCTTTGAAATCCATCACACTGAAATGGAAGCATAAACCAGCAAATTCCTCTTGCTGTTATACCTGATCAACATCAAGCTGAAGGAGGAGAACCCCAGTTCTCACGCAGGTCAGAGCAGAAGCCTGCTGTGAACCAAAGGCTTGGAGGACCCCAGTGAGTCCCCAGGAATGTAACTGGTGAGATGACAGCATCCAGCATGAACTTCTTCAGCATATAAATACACTGCTGAGATGCTGTGCCCTCACCAGCAGTTACTATCTTATTCCATTCCCCCTCCATCTTCTTTTCTTTGCTCATGGCAGAGGCCAAGCAGTCTTGTGCTGGTTGAAAACAGCCCAGGGAGGCTTGCAAAACTGCAGTGGTGGGAGCTTTCATGATTTTATTTTATTTTTGTTATAAGCCCTGTGGCATTTGATGTTCCTTTGCATAAATCCCAGCTGCTGGAAATGGGGGCACTAAATGAAAGCTGAGAATCTCATGCTATTAAAGAAAAAAAAAAAAAAAAAGCCTGCTTTGAGTCCTTGTGGCTGGGCCCCATTTTAAAATCTTTTTTTTTTTTTTTTTTCCTGAAGTGCGATGTAGGACTTGGAAACACAAAGGCAAATCTCCCTCACCCCATATACATGCAACTTTAAAAACGAACTTTTTAAAGCTATTTTGTTCTGAGGAATGGGACTGAGGTATGGGTTTTGAATGCTTGGAATCAATGGTGCTGCATTTGTGCTGACAATTATTAGTATGTGGGAAAGAAAAACAACGGACTTTGTGTGTTATGTCCCTCTTGAGGGCTATGTGGTGGTTCGGGTGTTTTTCCCCCTTCCAAAACAACAGAAAAAGGCTGAAACCTCAAAGGAAGGGAGGAACTTTTGATCTCCTGCTTCTGAATATCTCTGCTGCTTCTGGGTGTCTCCTTTCACAGACAGAGGGATGATAAGATGACCAGGGAGGAGGGTCTTATTTAGAGTGATGAACTTGGACTTTCCTTCGGGAGATCTGTGCTCCCAGGGGACAGTGGGCATCTCCGCCAGACAATACAACACGCTGCAGCAGCTGATCCACGGAGCGGGGCAGGAAACCCGGGATCCCTCTTGCAGGAGCCTGTGGAGATGCTCCAGCATCAAGTCTGCCGGGTTTTCTGGAAATTAGTTGAAATGTCATTTGGCCCCAGGTATTTAACTGCAGGACTCTGCTAGTAGTGGTACAACTTTTCTAGCGAAGCACCAGGGAATTCTGTTCCCCCTCCCTCCCTTTCTATAAACCGTGGTTGCTATAGCAAACGGGCTTTTGAATAAATAGATATTTCCTGGAGATCAAAGCAAAAATCGCTGTACCGTGCAGGTAACCCTGCCTTGCTGGAGCATTTTGGGGATGGTTAATTTAATCAGCTTAGAGTTTCTTCTCGCTGGCCCGCTGTGTGGGTATGTGACTCGTATACCTTGCAGAGAGGCACCAGCTTTGTAGCTACTCTTTGTACTTCCCTTAAAAAAAGCTTTTTGCATTTTCTGTGGGCAGGCCCTGACCTGTTTAGCCAGGGATTTTTTGGATTGCTACCCCTTTGATATGAATGTTGACTGGAGACTTGGGCATTCTTGAAAATCCTGTATCATGAAGAAATGTTCATTATCCCATGCACTAGACTGCTGGGCTATGTAAAGCATCTGCAGCTTTTAACTCTCTTAAGCTGGAAATACCTTTTCTTTAAAACAAACGAAAAGAAAGCTGATAACAGTATCAGATTCCCTAAGGTTTTTCTTAGCGAAGGGAGGTTATTGCAACTTGCAGGTATGTCTCGCAGGGTGAGCAGCGTGAGCTGTGGCTGGATGCCTGCAGGAACCCCTCTGCATGAATGCTGTACCAGACCAGGGCTCTCTGGGCTGTTCAGTCATCTGTCCCTGAGGAATCCGAGGGCTATTCGTATGCCTTTAAAATTTCACTTGGCAGGAGAGTTGCAGTCTAAACTGGCCCTTCCTGCTTGGCCTCGTGCTCCTAAAGCTTTGTACCAAACTTCCCCCCAAAGTGCTTGAACAGTTGTATGCAGCTCGTGAGTGCTGAACTGCGCGTAGCGTTGAGCACAGCGAGTGGAGGAGAGATCCAGAAACACAAAGTGATCCCAAATCTGAATTTTGTTAAACAGCTAGCCAATGTCCTAGAGGAACAACCCTTTCCTTTTTCTTCCTCCTTTCCCCCAACTGCAGAAACTTAAATCCATGCCAGATTTGGCTGCACCCTGAGAGCTCCTGAGAGCACACAGTGCTGTGCTGCTGGCAGGGCTGTGCTCTGGTACCCAGGAGCTGCTGTGGGATAAGCCCCGCTGGGCAAACTGGCGTGGG